GTTTCGTTTGGTAAACGCTTCTGTATCAAGCTGAGTCGGTGCGAACGTTGTTGCTCTTCAGTTTCGTTTGGTAAACGCTTCTATATCAAGCTGAGTCGGTGCGAACGTTGTTTCTCTTCAGTTTCGTTTGGTAAACGCTTCTGTATCAAGCTGAGTCGGTGCGAACGTTGTTGCTCTTCAGTTTCGTTTGGTAAACGCTTCTCTATCAAGCTGAGTCGGTGCGAACGTTGTTGCTCTTCAGTTTCGTTTGGTAAACGCTTCTATATCAAGCTGAGTCGGTGAGAACGTTGTTGCTCTTCAGTTTCGTTTGGTAAACGCTTCTGTATCAAGTGGAGTCGGTGCGAACGTTGTTGCTCTTCAGTTTTGTTTGGTAAACGCTTCTGTATCAAGCTGAGTCGGTGCGAACGTTGTTGCTTTTCAGTTTCGTTTGGTAAACGCTTCTCTATCAAGCTGAGTCGGTGCGAACGTTGTTGCTCTTCAGTTTCGTTTGGTAAACGCTTCTATATCAAGCTGAGTCGGTGAGAACGTTGTTGCTCTTCAGTTTCGTTTGGTAAACGCTTCTGTATCAAGTGGAGTTGGTGCGAACGTTGTTGCTCTTCAGTTTCGTTTGGTAAACGCTTCTGTATCAAGCTGAGTCGGTGCGAACGTTGTTACTCTTCAGTTTCGTTTGGTAAACGCTTCTCTATCAAGCTGAGTCGGTGCGAACGTTGTTGCTCTTCAGTTTCGTTTGGTAAACGCTTCTATATCAAGCTGAGTCGGTGAGAACGTTGTTGCTCTTCAGTTTCGTTTGATAAACGCTTCTGTATCAAGTGGAGTCGGTGAGAACGTTGTTGCTCTTCAGTTTCGTTTGGTAAACGCTTCTGTATCAAGTGGAGTCGGTGAGAACGTTGTTGCTCTTCAGTTTCGTTTGGTAAACGCTTCTATATCAAGCTGAGTCGGTGAGAACGTTGTTGCTCTTCAGTTTCGTTTGGTAAACGCTTCTATATCAAGCTGAGTCGGTGCGAACGTTGTTGCTCTTCAGTTTCGTTTGGTAAACGCTTCTGTATCAAGCTGAGTCGGTGAGAACGTTGTTGCTCTTCAGTTTCGTTTGGTAAACGCTTCTGTATCAAGTGGAGTCGGTGAGAACAATGTTGCTCTTCAGTTTCGTTTGGTAAACGCTTCTGTATCAAGCTGAGTCGGTGAGAACGTTGATGCTCTTCAGTTTCGTTTGGTAAACGCTTCTGTATCAAGTGGAGTCGGTGAGAACAATGTTGCTCTTCAGTTTCGTTTGGTAAACGCTTCTGTATCAAGCTGAGTCGGTGAGAACGTTGATGCTCTTCAGTTTCGTTTGGTAAACGCTTCTGTATCAAGCTGAGTCGGTGAAAACGTTGTTGCTCTTCAGTTTCGTTTGGTAAACGCTTCTGTATCAAGCTGAGTCGGTGCGAACGTTGTTGCTCTTCAGTTTCGTTTGGTAAACGCTTCTGTATCAAGCTGAGTCGGTGCGAACGTTGTTGCTCTTCAGTTTCGTTTGGTAAACGCTTCTATATCAAGCTGAGTCGGTGCGAACGTTGTTTCTCTTCAGTTTCGTTTGGTAAACGCTTTTGTATCAAGCTGAGTCGGTGCGAACGTTGTTGCTCTTCAGTTTCGTTTGGTAAACGCTTCTCTATCAAGCTGAGTCGGTGCGAACGTTGTTGCTCTTCAGTTTCGTTTGGTAAACGCTTCTATATCAAGCTGAGTCGGTGAGAACGTTGTTGCTCTTCAGTTTCGTTTGGTAAACGCTTCTGTATCAAGTGGAGTCGGTGCGAACGTTGTTGCTCTTCAGTTTTGTTTGGTAAACGCTTCTGTATCAAGCTGAGTCGGTGCGAACGTTGTTGCTCTTCAGTTTCGTTTGGTAAACGCTTCTCTATCAAGCTGAGTCGGTGCGAACGTTGTTGCTCTTCAGTTTCGTTTGGTAAACGCTTCTATATCAAGCTGAGTCGGTGAGAACGTTGTTGCTCTTCAGTTTCGTTTGGTAAACGCTTCTGTATCAAGTGGAGTTGGTGCGAACGTTGTTGCTCTTCAGTTTCGTTTGGTAAACGCTTCTGTATCAAGCTGAGTCGGTGCGAACGTTGTTACTCTTCAGTTTCGTTTGGTAAACGCTTCTCTATCAAGCTGAGTCGGTGCGAACGTTGTTGCTCTTCAGTTTCGTTTGGTAAACGCTTCTATATCAAGCTGAGTCGGTGAGAACGTTGTTGCTCTTCAGTTTCGTTTGATAAACGCTTCTGTATCAAGTGGAGTCGGTGAGAACGTTGTTGCTCTTCAGTTTCGTTTGGTAAACGCTTCTGTATCAAGTGGAGTCGGTGAGAACGTTGTTGCTCTTCAGTTTCGTTTGGTAAACGCTTCTATATCAAGCTGAGTCGGTGAGAACGTTGTTGCTCTTCAGTTTCGTTTGGTAAACGCTTCTGTATCAAGTGGAGTCGGTGCGAACGTTGTTGCTCTTCAGTTTCGTTTGGTAAACGCTTCTGTATCAAGCTGAGTCGGTGCGAACGTTGTTGCTCTTCAGTTTCGTTTGGTAAACGCTTCTCTATCAAGCTGAGTCGGTGCAAACGTTGTTGCTCTTCAGTTTCGTTTGGTAAATGCTTCTATATCAAGCTGAGTCGGTGAGAACGTTGTTGCTCTTCAGTTTCGTTTGGTAAACGCTTCTGTATCAAGTGGAGTCGGTGAGAACAATGTTGCTCTTCAGTTTCGTTTGGTAAACGCTTCTGTATCAAGCTGAGTCGGTGAGAACGTTGATGCTCTTCAGTTTCGTTTGGTAAACGCTTCTGTATCAAGCTGAGTCGGTGAAAACGTTGTTGCTCTTCAGTTTCGTTTGGTAAACGCTTCTGTATCAAGCTAAGTCGGTGCGAACGTTGTTGCTCTTCAGTTTCGTTTGGTAAACGCTTCTGTATCAAGCTGAGTCGGTGCGAACGTTGTTGCTCTTCAGTTTCGTTTGGTAAACGCTTCTATATCAAGCTGAGTCGGTGCGAACGTTGTTTCTCTTCAGTTTCGTTTGGTAAACGCTTCTATATCAAGCTGAGTCGGTGAGAACGTTGTTGCTCTTCAGTTTCGTTTGGTAAACGCTTCTGTATCAAGTGGAGTCGGTGCGAACGTTGTTGCTCTTCAGTTTTGTTTGGTAAACGCTTCTGTATCAAGCTGAGTCGGTGCGAACGTTGTTGCTCTTCAGTTTCGTTTGGTAAACGCTTCTCTATCAAGCTGAGTCGGTGCGAACGTTGTTGCTCTTCAGTTTCGTTTGGTAAACGCTTCTATATCAAGCTGAGTCGGTGAGAACGTTGTTGCTCTTCAGTTTCGTTTGGTAAACGCTTCTGTATCAAGTGGAGTCGGTGCGAACGTTGTTGCTCTTCAGTTTCGTTTGGTAAACGCTTCTGTATCAAGCTGAGTCGGTGCGAACGTTGTTGCTCTTCAGTTTCGTTTGGTAAACGCTTCTCTATCAAGCTGAGTCGGTGCGAACGTTGTTGCTCTTCAGTTTCATTTGGTAAACGCTTCTATATCAAGCTGAGTCGGTGAGAACGTTGTTGCTCTTCAGTTTCGTTTGGTAAACGCTTCTGTATCAAGTGGAGTCGGTGAGAACGTTGTTGCTCTTCAGTTTCGTTTGGTAAACGCTTCTGTATCAAGTGGAGTCGGTGAGAACGTTGTTGCTCTTCAGTTTCGTTTGGTAAACGCTTCTGTATCAAGCTGAGTCGGTGAGAACGTTGATGCTCTTCAGTTTCGTTTGGTAAACGCTTCTGTATCAAGCTGAGTCGGTGAAAACGTTGTTGCTCTTCAGTTTCGTTTGGTAAACGCTTCTGTATCAAGTGGAGTCGGTGCGAACGTTGTTGCTCTTCAGTTTCGTTTGGTAAACGCTTCTGTATCAAGCTGAGTCGGTGCGAACGTTGTTGCTCTTCAGTTTCGTTTGGTAAACGCTTCTGTATCAAGCTGAGTCGGTGCGAACGTTGTTGCTCTTCAGTTTCGTTTGGTTAACGCTTCTGTATCAAGCTGAGTCGGTGAGAACGTTGTTGCTCTTCAGTTTCGTTTGGTAAACGCTTTTGTATCAAGTGGAGTCGGTGAGAACGTTGTTGCTCTTCAGTTTCGTTTGGTAAACGCTTCTGTATCAAGCTGAGTCGGTGAGAACGTTGTTGCTCTTCAGTTTCGTTTGGTAAACGCTTCTGTATCAAGTGGAGTTGGTGAGAATGTTGTTGCTCTTCAGTTTCGTTTGGTAAACGCTTCTGTATCAAGCTGAGTCAGTGAGAACGTTGTTGCTCTTCAGTTTCGTTTGGTAAACGCTTCTGTATCAAGCTGAGTCGGTGCGAACGTTGTTGCTCTTCAGTTTCGTTTGGTAAACGCTTCTATATCAAGCTGAGTCGGTGAGAACGTTGTTGCTCTTCAGTTTCGTTTGGTAAACGCTTCTGTATCAAGTGGAGTCGGTGCGAACGTTGTTGCTCTTCAGTTTTGTTTGGTAAACGCTTCTGTATCAAGCTGAGTCGGTGCGAACGTTGTTGCTCTTCAGTTTCGTTTGGTAAACGCTTCTCTATCAAGCTGAGTCGGTGCGAACGTTGTTGCTCTTCAGTTTCGTTTGGTAAACGCTTCTATATCAAGCTGAGTCGGTGAGAACGTTGTTGCTCTTCAGTTTCGTTTGGTAAACGCTTCTGTATCAAGTGGAGTTGGTGCGAACGTTGTTGCTCTTCAGTTTCGTTTGGTAAACGCTTCTGTATCAAGCTGAGTCGGTGCGAACGTTGTTACTCTTCAGTTTCGTTTGGTAAACGCTTCTCTATCAAGCTGAGTCGGTGCGAACGTTGTTGCTCTTCAGTTTCGTTTGGTAAACGCTTCTATATCAAGCTGAGTCGGTGAGAACGTTGTTGCTCTTCAGTTTCGTTTGATAAACGCTTCTGTATCAAGTGGAGTCGGTGAGAACGTTGTTGCTCTTCAGTTTCGTTTGGTAAACGCTTCTGTATCAAGTGGAGTCGGTGAGAACGTTGTTGCTCTTCAGTTTCGTTTGGTAAACGCTTCTATATCAAGCTGAGTCGGTGAGAACGTTGTTGCTCTTCAGTTTCGTTTGGTAAACGCTTCTGTATCAAGCTGAGTCGGTGCGAACGTTGTTGCTCTTCAGTTTCGTTTGGTAAACGCTTCTGTATCAAGCTGAGTCGGTGAGAACGTTGTTGCTCTTCAGTTTCGTTTGGTAAACGCTTCTGTATCAAGTGGAGTCGGTGAGAACAATGTTGCTCTTCAGTTTCGTTTGGTAAACGCTTCTGTATCAAGCTGAGTCGGTGAGAACGTTGATGCTCTTCAGTTTCGTTTGGTAAACGCTTCTGTATCAAGTGGAGTCGGTGAGAACAATGTTGCTCTTCAGTTTCGTTTGGTAAACGCTTCTGTATCAAGCTGAGTCGGTGAGAACGTTGATGCTCTTCAGTTTCGTTTGGTAAACGCTTCTGTATCAAGCTGAGTCGGTGAAAACGTTGTTGCTCTTCAGTTTCGTTTGGTAAACGCTTCTGTATCAAGCTGAGTCGGTGCGAACGTTGTTGCTCTTCAGTTTCGTTTGGTAAACGCTTCTGTATCAAGCTGAGTCGGTGCGAACGTTGTTGCTCTTCAGTTTCGTTTGGTAAACGCTTCTATATCAAGCTGAGTCGGTGCGAACGTTGTTTCTCTTCAGTTTCGTTTGGTAAACGCTTTTGTATCAAGCTGAGTCGGTGCGAACGTTGTTGCTCTTCAGTTTCGTTTGGTAAACGCTTCTCTATCAAGCTGAGTCGGTGCGAACGTTGTTGCTCTTCAGTTTCGTTTGGTAAACGCTTCTATATCAAGCTGAGTCGGTGAGAACGTTGTTGCTCTTCAGTTTCGTTTGGTAAACGCTTCTGTATCAAGTGGAGTCGGTGCGAACGTTGTTGCTCTTCAGTTTTGTTTGGTAAACGCTTCTGTATCAAGCTGAGTCGGTGCGAACGTTGTTGCTCTTCAGTTTCGTTTGGTAAACGCTTCTCTATCAAGCTGAGTCGGTGCGAACGTTGTTGCTCTTCAGTTTCGTTTGGTAAACGCTTCTATATCAAGCTGAGTCGGTGAGAACGTTGTTGCTCTTCAGTTTCGTTTGGTAAACGCTTCTGTATCAAGTGGAGTTGGTGCGAACGTTGTTGCTCTTCAGTTTCGTTTGGTAAACGCTTCTGTATCAAGCTGAGTCGGTGCGAACGTTGTTACTCTTCAGTTTCGTTTGGTAAACGCTTCTCTATCAAGCTGAGTCGGTGCGAACGTTGTTGCTCTTCAGTTTCGTTTGGTAAACGCTTCTATATCAAGCTGAGTCGGTGAGAACGTTGTTGCTCTTCAGTTTCGTTTGATAAACGCTTCTGTATCAAGTGGAGTCGGTGAGAACGTTGTTGCTCTTCAGTTTCGTTTGGTAAACGCTTCTGTATCAAGTGGAGTCGGTGAGAACGTTGTTGCTCTTCAGTTTCGTTTGGTAAACGCTTCTATATCAAGCTGAGTCGGTGAGAACGTTGTTGCTCTTCAGTTTCGTTTGGTAAACGCTTCTGTATCAAGTGGAGTCGGTGCGAACGTTGTTGCTCTTCAGTTTCGTTTGGTAAACGCTTCTGTATCAAGCTGAGTCGGTGCGAACGTTGTTGCTCTTCAGTTTCGTTTGGTAAACGCTTCTCTATCAAGCTGAGTCGGTGCAAACGTTGTTGCTCTTCAGTTTCGTTTGGTAAATGCTTCTATATCAAGCTGAGTCGGTGAGAACGTTGTTGCTCTTCAGTTTCGTTTGGTAAACGCGTCTGTATCAAGCTGAGTCGGTGAAAACGTTGTTGCTCTTCAGTTTCGTTTGGTAAACGCTTCTGTATCAAGCTGAGTCGGTGCGAACGTTGTTGCTCTTCAGTTTCGTTTGGTAAACGCTTCTGTATCAAGCTGAGTCGGTGCGAACGTTGTTGCTCTTCAGTTTCGTTTGGTAACGCTTCTGTATCAAGCTGAGTCGGTGCGAACGTTGTTGCTCTTCAGTTTCGTTTGGTAAACGCTTCTGTATCAAGCTGAGTCGGTGCGAACGTTGTTGCTCTTCAGTTTCGTTTGGTAAACGCTTCTATATCAAGCTGAGTCGGTGCGAACGTTGTTTCTCTTCAGTTTCGTTTGGTAAACGCTTCTATATCAAGCTGAGTCGGTGAGAACGTTGTTGCTCTTCAGTTTCGTTTGGTAAACGCTTCTGTATCAAGTGGAGTCGGTGCGAACGTTGTTGCTCTTCAGTTTTGTTTGGTAAACGCTTCTGTATCAAGCTGAGTCGGTGCGAACGTTGTTGCTCTTCAGTTTCGTTTGGTAAACGCTTCTCTATCAAGCTGAGTCGGTGCGAACGTTGTTGCTCTTCAGTTTCGTTTGGTAAACGCTTCTATATCAAGCTGAGTCGGTGAGAACGTTGTTGCTCTTCAGTTTCGTTTGGTAAACGCTTCTGTATCAAGTGGAGTCGGTGCGAACGTTGTTGCTCTTCAGTTTCGTTTGGTAAACGCTTCTGTATCAAGCTGAGTCGGTGCGAACGTTGTTGCTCTTCAGTTTCGTTTGGTAAACGCTTCTCTATCAAGCTGAGTCGGTGCGAACGTTGTTGCTCTTCAGTTTCATTTGGTAAACGCTTCTATATCAAGCTGAGTCGGTGAGAACGTTGTTGCTCTTCAGTTTCGTTTGGTAAACGCTTCTGTATCAAGTGGAGTCGGTGAGAACGTTGTTGCTCTTCAGTTTCGTTTGGTAAACGCTTCTGTATCAAGTGGAGTAGGTGAGAACGTTGTTGCTCTTCAGTTTCGTTTGGTAAACGCTTCTGTATCAAGCTGAGTCGGTGAGAACGTTGATGCTCTTCAGTTTCGTTTGGTAAACGCTTCTGTATCAAGCTGAGTCGGTGAAAACGTTGTTGCTCTTCAGTTTCGTTTGGTAAACGCTTCTGTATCAAGTGGAGTCGGTGCGAACGTTGTTGCTCTTCAGTTTCGTTTGGTAAACGCTTCTGTATCAAGCTGAGTCGGTGCGAACGTTGTTGCTCTTCAGTTTCGTTTGGTAAACGCTTCTGTATCAAGCTGAGTCGGTGCGAACGTTGTTGCTCTTCAGTTTCGTTTGGTTAACGCTTCTGTATCAAGCTGAGTCGGTGAGAACGTTGTTGCTCTTCAGTTTCGTTTGGTAAACGCTTTTGTATCAAGTGGAGTCGGTGAGAACGTTGTTGCTCTTCAGTTTCGTTTGGTAAACGCTTCTGTATCAAGCTGAGTCGGTGAGAACGTTGTTGCTCTTCAGTTTCGTTTGGTAAACGCTTCTGTATCAAGTGGAGTTGGTGAGAATGTTGTTGCTCTTCAGTTTCGTTTGGTAAACGCTTCTGTATCAAGCTGAGTCAGTGAGAACGTTGTTGCTCTTCAGTTTCGTTTGGTAAACGCTTCTGTATCAAGCTGAGTCGGTGCGAACGTTGTTGCTCTTCAGTTTCGTTTGGTAAACGCTTCTGTATCAAGCTGAGTCGGTGCGAACGTTTTTGCTCTTTAGTTTCGTTTGGTAAACGCTTCTGTATCAAGCTGAGTCGGTGCGAACGTTGTTGCTCTTCAGTTTCGTTTGGTAAACGCTTCTGTATCAAGCTGAGTCGGTGCGAACGTTGTTGCTCTTCAGTTTCGTTTGGTAAACGCTTCTGTATCAAGCTGAGTCGACGAGAACGTTGTTGCTCTTCAGTTTCGTTTGGTAAACGCTTCTGTATCAAGCTGAGTCGGTGAGAACGTTGATGCTCTTCAGTTTCGTTTGGTAAACGCTTCTGTATCAAGCTGAGTCGGTGAGAACGTTGTTGCTCTTCAGTTTCGTTTGGTAAACGCTTCTGTATCAAGCTGAGTCGGTGCGAACTTTGTTGCTCTTCAGTTTCGTTTGGTAAACGCTTCTGTATCAAGCTGAGTCGGTGCGAACGTTTTTGCTCTTTAGTTTCGTTTGGTAAACGCTTCTGTATCAAGCTGAGTCGGTGCGAACGTTGTTGCTCTTCAGTTTCGTTTGGTAAAGGCTTCTGTATCAAGCTGAGTCGACGAGAACGTTGTTGCTCTTCAGTTTCGTTTGGTAAACGCTTCTGTATCAAGCTGAGTCGACGAGAACGTTGTTGCTCTTCAGTTTCGTTTGGTAAACGCTTCTGTATCAATCTGAGTCGGTGAGAACGTTGATGCTCTTCAGTTTCGTTTGGTAAACGCTTCTGTATCAAGCTGAGTCGGTGAAAACGTTGTTGCTCTTCAGTTTCGTTTGGTAAACGCTTCTGTATCAAGCTGAGTCGGTGCGAACGTTGTTGCTCTTCAGTTTCGTTTGGTAAACGCTTCTGTATCAAGCTGAGTCGGTGCGAACGTTGTTGCTCTTCAGTTTCGTTTGGTAACGCTTCTGTATCAAGCTGAGTCGGTGCGAACGTTGTTGCTCTTCAGTTTCGTTTGGTAAACGCTTCTGTATCAAGTGGAGTCGGTTAGAACTTTGTTGCTCTTTAGTTTCGTTTGGTAAACGCTTCTGTATCAAGCTGAGTCGGTGAGAACGTTGTTGCTCTTCATTGTCGTTTGGTAAACGCTTCTCTATCAAGCTGAGTCGGTGCGAACGTTGTTGCTCTTCAGTTTCGTTTGGTAAATGCTTCTATATCAAGCTGAGTCGGTGAGAACGTTGTTGCTCTTCAGTTTCGTTTGGTAAACGCTTCTGTATCAAGTGGAGTCGGTGAGAACGTTGTTGCTCTTCAGTTTCGTTTGGTAAACGCTTCTGTATCAAGTGGAGTCGGTGAGAACAATGTTGCTCTTCAGTTTCGTTTGGTAAACGCTTCTGTATCAAGCTGAGTCGGTGAGAACGTTGATGCTCTTCAGTTTCGTTTGGTAAACGCTTCTGTATCAAGCTCAGTCGGTGAAAACGTTGTTGCTCTTCAGTTTTGTTTGGTAAACGCTTCTGTATCAAGCTGAGTCGGTGCGAACGTTGTTGCTCTTCAGTTTCGTTTGGTAAACGCTTCTGTATCAAGCTGAGTCGGTGCGAACGTTGTTGCTCTTCAGTTTCGTTTGGTAAACGCTTCTATATCAAGCTGAGTCGGTGCGAACGTTGTTTCTCTTCAGTTTCGTTTGGTAAACGCTTCTGTATCAAGCTGAGTCGGTGCGAACGTTGTTGCTCTTCAGTTTCGTTTGGTAAACGCTTCTCTATCAAGCTGAGTCGGTGCAAACGTTGTTGCTCTTCAGTTTCGTTTGGTAAATGCTTCTATATCAAGCTGAGTCGGTGAGAACGTTGTTGCTCTTCAGTTTCGTTTGGTAAACGCTTCTGTATCAAGTGGAGTCGGTGCGAACGTTGTTGCTCTTCAGTTTTGTTTGGTAAACGCTTCTGTATCAAGCTGAGTCGGTGAGAACGTTGTTGCTCTTCAGTTTCGTTTGGTAAACGCTTCTGTATCAAGCTGAGTCAGTGAGAACGTTGTTGCTCTTCAGTTTCGTTTGGTAAACGCTTCTGTATCAAGTGGAGTCAGTGAGAACGTTGTTACTCTTCAGTTTCGTTTGGTAAACGCTTCTGTATCAAGTGGAGTCGGTGAGAACGTTGTTCTTCAGTTTCGTTCGAAAAACGCTACTTTATCAATATTTGTTTTTAGTTTTCGTACCTTGGCTGGCACCTACTCCAAAACTTACTGGTTAGGTAATATAAATATTTAAATAACAGTAATTGTGTACATTTTCCTTATACTTATCTTCATTCCTCAGTAACCAAAAAAAATATTTTTTTAACTTTTTAGTAGTGCATGCTCAGTTTTGAAGTCAGTTTTTAATTTTTTGAAATAATTACTTTATTATTTTAGTTATAGTTAGTTGGAATATTAGTAACGTTAACAACATTGCTATTATTATTTATAGGAAAAGAAATATTTATCCTCCCTAGCAGCCCATCACCACTCTCCCTATGAAGAAAGGATTTACCGTAATTGTTACGATTGACTGGCAGACTCTGTCACCCTCCGCCAGTTTGAGTATTTCACATCATCTTATTTGTGTTACCTGAAAACTTTTTCTAGAGGAACCGATTTTAATGATTCTTTTTCTATTTAAAGGCTTGTGCTTCTCATGTGGTCACATATAAATTTTTTGAGTTATCCTTAATAATACGTATTTAATTGACTTCGACTACATTGATGATGTTCTCATTTTATTTATATTGAAGTCGGTTGTACAAATTTTTAATTTTACTATTTTTTATCACAGCCTATCAAAAGTCCACTACTGCACATACCCCATACGTCATATGAGCAAATTTGCTGTACCTGCCATGCTTCGCAAGCGGATAACAACCTTCTTTACTATTTTAAGCCGCTATAAGGAAGATGCTGCTGCCTACCCCCGTTTCATTACACTCTGTCACTTCTTACTTTACTTCACTTAACTTTAATTGAGAAATAAGATGTGGAACAGTGACACTGACATAAGTAATCCTTATATATTTTACTTTGGCAGGACCAATGACACTCTCCATTGGCAAAAAACTTTCAATCAGAATGTATCACCGTTGCGTCTAAAATGGAGCTTAGATGGTGGGTATCCAAAGGTATTTCCCCCAGACCCGACTATGATTCCATTTAGAGTAATGGGGTCAGGAGAAGTTCATGGCTTAGGAGTAGAACTGTACCTCAATACCAGTGAACATCAGTTTGGTTGTGATGGGAACAATGTGGGTTTCAATGTGAGTGTTAGAACTTTTCTTCATTGTATAAAGTGTAACTAATTATTTAAAATTATGTAAAATATTCATACACTTCGCAATCATCAATCGACACAGTAAAGAATAGGGTTTATATTATAGAATACTATAATATACTATAGAATGGCTGTCAACCTTATTTTGTACGAGGATCGGTGTCGCCGGGAGCACACATACAAGCAATTACGTCGTATTACAGTTATCACTACTACAAACACATTTTAGACTTTTGATTAATGTTTTTGACACGTAAATATTTCTTTATTTTTTGTTTCTAATATTCACAAAATATAAATAGTTTCGGCTTACTGGTTATAGAATATGAATCCTTCATTTAAATTCCATTTCCCGCTGTTCTTTTGGCACGTAATTATTGCACAATTTGCTGTTTTTTTAATAATTTGCATGCGACGCTTGACACGAAAATTGGAAATGATTTATTGTGTTGACATTTATAGGTGTGAATTGACATGTTAGTGGCTACACAAGCTCCGCCCACACCCCTGTTCTATTATTTATTTATTTATTTATATTTCCTACTAACATCTACCATTACAGGGAAAACCTAAATCGATAAATGTAGCATCTCAATTCAAAAAGTAACAATTCAAATGGTAAAAGATTACTAATTACAACACAATAATTAATTTAAATAACAATACATAATAATTAATTTCAATGACAATACATTACAATCAATTGTATACTACAATTTAAGAATAACATATTGTAAATAATGTCACTTTTGCGAATTCACTCCGTGAACACGAAAATAAGTCCAACTTCTCAGCTACCAAATTTAGTATGTGTATCGTTCGCGTGAGGGGGGGTATTGCGAACCAGTTTAGTCCTGCCGCGTGGCATCGCGAGCAAGCTCGGCCGTCGTCGCCGCTGTACATACCTATCAGGCACGCATAAGCCTATCCACTGCAGCACACCCGGGTTGCTGATGTAACCACGGAACACCCTTAAAATGTAGATTACCAGCGCTAGATCTCTTCTAGTTTCCAACTTGTTGTATCCAACCATACCTAAAACAAACAAGGTTGGATACATCAAGGGGTAGGATGGATAAACCCCATAAAGCTTATGATATATAAATCGCGTGAATTTATTCTGAATGCGCTCCAGCATAAGATTGTATTTATTTTCATGTGGAGCCCATATTGCTGAGTTACACTCCAGCTGACTCCTTACTAGAGCATCATACAGCACTGAGATTGCTTTAATGTTGGTAAATTTTACTGCTCTGCGAATGATAAACCCTAGTCGTTTATAAGCTTTCTTACATATATTCATGATGTGCTCCCGGAATGTCAATTTGACATCCATCTGGACTCCAAGATCCCGGACTGATTCCTCCCTCTTCATTAGCTCGCCATTCAACTTATAGTTGTAATGGAGTGGTGCCCTTGCACGACTAAATAATAGAATAGAGCATTTTGAAATATTAAACTGTAGTTTATTTTTATGGCTCCATTCAACTACTTGGTCGATATCTTGCTGAAGGTGCCGACAATCATCCTCAGTCTTGATGGCTAAAAGCAACTTTAGGTCGTCTGCAAATAACAGACATTTAGCCTCTCTTACTACTTCGGGTAGATCATTAATCATTATGTTGAACTCTAACGGCCCTAAATTACTACCTTGACTCACGCCAGACCTAGTAAAATAAGGCTCCGACCGGTACCCGCCATACTCCACATACTGTTTTCTATCTCTCATGTAACTTGCAAAAAAATGAAGCAGTTTAGGTGTGCAGCCAGCTTTCGCCATCTTTGACAGTAGGATATCGTTATCTACCAAGTCGAACGCCTTCCTAAAATCAAAGTAGGCGGCATCTACCTGCAACCCTGCATCAACATGAGGAACCAAATACGTCATGGCATTTAAGAGGTTACTAGTTGTGCTCCTCTCTAGCCGGAAGCCGTGCTGGGCGTCCGATAATTGCGGTGCAACTTGTTCCTGTACACTTCGCTGAATGGCTCCCTCAAACACCTTCGCAGGTGCTGAGAGAATCGCCACTGGCCTGAAGGATTCAACTGTAGGTTTGTTACCTCCCTTAGGTATCGGAATAACACGCGTGATTTTCCAACTTTCTGGAAAATATGAATTCTTCAGACACAAGTTGAAAATATGTAATAACGGTTCTGCCAGCACTGAGCGGCAGTCTCGTATCACAAACGCCGGTATACCGTCCGGGCCCGCCGAGCGCTTCGGCTTGAGTCGGGCGAGCGCCGCGCGCACCTCACCGAGCTGCAGTTGCGGCACGTGCACGCGCGCGCTGCCCGCACCGCCCGCCAACACCGCCTCGTCTACGTTCAAACGCGCTGGCTCGCTGTTGTACACTGAATAGAAGTATTTGGCAAATTTAGTCGCACTTTCTTGATCTGACAATGTTACTCCATCTTTCAATATTTGTTTACGTTTAACGGTCCTTTTTTTCGCCCTAATATGATCCCAAAAAGACTTAGGATCTTTTGTCAAGTTACTTTGCACACGATTTTGATAGTTTAGGTATGCGCTATCAATAGTTTTCTTAATTCGCGTCCTGCAAGCAGAAAAAGCTTTGTAATGAGCACGAGATCCGGTCGATTTATATAACTTGTGAAGTTTAGCCTTTAATTTTATGTCCCTGATTAAATCACTAATATACCACTCGGGGTAGTGTCTTTGATCTACTTTATTTTCCCGCTTTTTCGGTACACATTTATCTAAAACACCGTAAAAAACATTATAAAAAAACTCTAAAGCTTCCTCTGGTTCTTGTGTCTCGTTAATCAAACTCCAATCGGCGCAAGCTAAATAAGAATAAAATAAGTAAAAATCAGCTTTATAAAAATTTCATTGCGATTTAATTTGGTTTGCTGATGTCTCACGGTTTAAAGCAACGGGCTCGGCCCCCACGGGTAGCAACGTCACACCGCCAGCGCTGAGCTCCAGAGTCACCGCGAGCGGTGGATGATACGTGTCCACAGGCACTAATGGTTCGTTAGCTTCGCATACTTGTACGCCATCACCTAATCCTAACGAACACAACACTAAATCTAGTTGACTCCGATTACAATTAAGGACTTTATTCATCTGAGCCAATTCGCAAAAGGACACAAAATATTCAAAATAATTTTTAACATTATCATTACTTGAATTTAAGTTAAAATCACCTATCAAAATAATATGTCTATATTTAACACACAATTGTTCTATTATCTTAAAAAAAATCATGTAAACATCTTCCTTAGTCTTAGGCGGGATGTAAACAACGCAACATAAAAATAAACATTTATCTTTAGCGTGTACTGTCGCACAAACCAGTTCAAATGAGCAGTTATCTATGTTTACGTCACCCGGTGTATTCACTCGTTGCAGCTGTAACCCGTGTGTGGCCACGAGAAACGCGCCGCCTAGCTTACGGCCGTCTGCTCGATCACACCTTATTATATCATAACCTGGTGGCACAATCTCCGCATCCATTATAGAATCGTTGCATCCTGTTTCCGTAATAGCAATTATATCGGCATTCAATGATTCAATATTGTTACAAAACCAGTTTAATTTTGTACGAAGACCCCTGACGTTTTGATAGTAAAATTCAAAACTATTATTTTTCTTTAATTGGTTTATTTGTAGCTTTTCGAAACCAAATCCACTCGCAAAATTCCGCATTGATGGGCCAGACTTCCGGTTGACACAACTTATCATACATTGACTCTGATACCGTTATGATAAAAGAAGCGTAATCCCTCTCTGTCTTATGCTTAATTTTCTCAATCTTAACATTAGCATCTGGACCACATACTCCTTTGACATGTGATGTTAATTTATCACTTGTGGTTTCTTTACTCAAACGCCAAACGTGAAGGTGCCGCTTTTTTTCAGTAGCCTGTATATCTAATAAAACCGTATTATTTCCTTTCTTCACATTTTTTTATTGGTAACTCCCCCTTTTCTTACAAACTGTAGTCCACTCACAATCTTTATTAATTTTTTCTTCTTCCTCACTAATATTAATATTTAACTCTTTCCTTGGAGTCACACACTGTGGCTGATTAATTGGTTGAGTTTGGACAACGGACCCTCTCCCGGTTGCTATTTTCATGGCCGCAGGCGTTTTTATTACGCAGGGAGTAACGTTTGTTTTGTTTACATTATTTAGGCTTATACGAGCCACATCAGCGAATGTAGATGGGACATCGATTTGCTTAGACATTTCGAGGCCTGTATTAAAACTTTCCGTTATACTATCAATACTTTCAAAATGTTGATTTTGAGTTGATAACGGATCCGTTGGGAACAATTTATTTTGAAATACTTTCATTTTAATCTTTAGTTCTTCTAATTCCGTTTTTGTAGAAAAACATATTTCTTGAAGATGTTTAATAATGTTAGTTTGCACGTCTAATCGGCTTAAGACTTCATATTTTAGCTGTCTAAACTCAGACAGCAATTTATCATTACTATTATTATCACACTCGACAATTGATTCATCCATCAATTGCATGCGGCTTCCCCGTTGAGTGTTGACATTAGCACTGGGCGCGAATGTTTTCAGATCCGGGGTGTCCCTGATAGGTGTATTCGGGTCATAGCGTTTAGGTTTAGAACAAGCGCACTCCGGACAGACCCATTGCTTCGTGCGCTTATCCGAGAAGGAACTGAATTTATTTTCTGTCAGTCCTAGGCATTTTAAATCATAAACTTTCTCGCACTGTTTTTTGGAGCACTTTATGTAACAACCATCAGGTACTTGGACACCACAAGCCCAACAATCTACAGACATTATAACTGTTTTTAAAGTAAATAATTATACACAAGCGCAACAAACACGTCCGTTCTGTTTTATCCTATCTTTTTATCTTGTTGATTTTGAGAAGAATCATGTCCGTCCTTAATGGTAGTGCAGGAGAAGGAAATATAAATTAATAAATATATATTAAGAAATATATAACAAAATAGTTATTTTAAATAAAATATTTCGCCAAAATACAGTTGTCACCTGTCACCTTTATTTTTATGTATGAATTATAGTATTCTATGGTTTATGTAGAAGACAGGTCCCTATCCTTTACGTCTATCCTGAAGCAACAACCATATTGCAGCGATAGTGGCGTCGCTGGGTCTTGTTAGACCGCAGTCGTGTGTGAAAGGGCTCCTGTAACCCGGATTTGTGATAAGTGCGTCAAATCCTGGTGTTTAAGAGGACCAGCGTTGTGAGATACATCCGCTGCTGCTCAGCCTGTAAAATGTCACCGCTGGACCCGTTGAAGTTAAGATGTAAAGGATATCCTGCACCTGTGGATCTGCTCTTTTCGGCGACTGGGAATTTCACGTCTGCGTAGATGATTATGTTTGTCATAAGCTATGAAATCTTTCTATGATGCGTTATGTATTTGTTCTTTTAGGCTGAATAATCATAATAATTATGTAAAATTGTTACAGATTTAATTATCATCTATTCCATCCCATACAGCCTATAAAGGTTCACAGTTGAACATATGCCTCCCCTATGGACTGCCTCATAGGGAAATTTGCCATAGTTGGCACGCTTGGCAAGCGTGTTGGCAACGATAGTTTTTTATTATTTTGAGTCGGTACCAGGAAAATGCTGTTCCCCATTTCATATTTCAGTTTCCCTATGTCGTTACTTACGACACCAACGGGACGATATGGGTTAGTGGTTATACTTACACCATCAATACAAGGTAATACAGCGTCACTACAGATTCAAGATAAATAAAAAATTTCTTTCTTTTTAATTGTTTATGTTCTTATCACTCAAAAAATAAAAAAAAAAAAAAAAAAAAAAACCACAAAAATCATAAAAAAATATACAGTGTTATATAATTATTTTAAGGTTCTTATTAGTTCACCAACTGATAACGTGTATACCAGTACTGTAATTCGTCTACCAATGAATAAAATGACTACCATCAAAGTGACGCCGATAACTTACAAAACGGACGCAGAACTAAGATCCCTACCTGCGTATCAGAGACAGTGCTACTTTCAAGATGAAAGGAAACTTAAATATTTCGAATTCTACACTGACAGTAACTGCAAGCACGATCTGTGGATGCGTGAAGTCAAGAAGCAATGTAACTGTGTTCTTTTCAATTGGCCAAGTACGTTTCCATTCCCAACTTTCCTTAATTCCCATCTGAATATAAATAACGAATTTAATTTGTGTTAATGTGTGTTTTTAGGAATTTACATTTGGGAATCGATTTGTTCAACTAAATCAGATTTCCGCTGCGTAATTGAAGTTCGAGGTAAATAAAATGGATATATTAAAATCTACCACCGCACCGGTTCAAAATACACATCCACAGAGCAAATTATGCTTCTTATATATATTCGATATATTATATTCATATACATACTTAAATACATGTCATATATGCCCATACATACGAGTACTATAAATTTAGAAGATATAAACAATTTTCTTTCATCTAAAAACTGCAAACTTTAATCCCCTTCGGCACTACCGGAATTGTTAAATGCAAAGATATGTGTTTATTTAACACGTACTCGACCTGAAGAAAAAATTGCGAAGAAACCTGCATATCTAAAAATAAAATATCTATTTCAAGGGGAATTTAAAGTCCGCCAACACGCACTAAAGCAACGCTCCTCCTGCTCTATAATAATTAAATGTGCATATTATACAAACGTTAAATGTATGTAACTATAACTTTACTTTTCATTTTTTATTCAGTCCTAGTTTTTACGGGATTTGGCTAGGAATGCTAGAGACATTTGTTGAATTACAAAACTTAGATCCCAGATCATGTAAGCACCAATATTCTTATGGTCGTGGATACATCAACATTCTCATATGAGCCTTAAATTTTTTAATCTTTCTTATTTATTCACTTAATATTAAGCATGCATACGTAATCAGACTTCTCGTGGAGGGATTCTATTCTTACGAACTCCTCTTGAAAAAAAAACGGCAAAAGCCGTAAAAGAAGTAAATATGAATATAAGTGTTTACATTAATTCGGAAAACATATAAACACTTTTTAATTTGTTTAGCAAAAGTAGAGGAACATCTGACATACGCGTATTTTGAAGACAGCCAGGAAGAAAGGGTACGCGATTCCACCTCTACCTCCTGTCACCCAGCCTGCAATGACATTTTGTACTCCAGTCAAGTTTTCTACTCTGATCTTGTTAGCATACCAGGACGACCAGAGCCTGATTGGGATTTCAAAGAGTAAGCTATTCAAAATAATATAATATGTAGTCAAAGAACATTGGCAAACTTCCAAACAAATTTTTGAAGACATTTTTTTCTTGCGTCTACAAATGAAAAATATGTAAATATATAGAGTTTGAAATCCTGAACAATTTTGTCTTCAGTCATCCTACGGCAGGAAGTCAGGAATTAAAGATATTTCAGTTTAAACAAAATACATATCAGCTTAGGTTGTATGGTATAAGAATTTTGCCTGCTTTAATTGGCGAATTGTGACAACAACAACAACTAGTCAATTCAGTTTAAATTATGTATGATGATTTTTTCCGGACTTGATAGGCCATAAGCTTGATTAAATAAAAGGTAGTAAATTATTTTATTGATATCTGTAATGGTGACATTAAGAAAAAGCTTAATAATTCCTTTAACAATTTGGTATAATAATAGTAATAATAATAAATTTATTTCAAGACAAAAATTTGGTTTACAATCTTTAGTGACCGGAGTCTCCTTTTAAGCAAATAATGCCTGTAGCAGGTAACTCTGCTCTTCCATATCTATATTTTATATTTATACTTATATTAAATGTATTACGCAGAATAACTTGAAAAGTAAAAACAGAAATTACAGTTTTTTACTTTTTTCCCCCAATGATGTACAACCTTTACATTCGATATATTGTTTTGTGTAAATGTCTAATTCTTTATTGATTTTACTATAAATTTGAGCTGAACGAGTATTATTTTGCATTAGGTTTAAGGTTTCAGGTTAACTATTGTTGTGTAAATATTTTCGTAGTATGAACGTGTTCTTTTTGATAATGCTCTAATATTTTATGTGGATTTATGAGTTTCTTATGCCGCTATTTCTGAGTATATGGCAGCGAAACTAAGTTCGTGATTTCTGTAATGTTATTTTTGTCCTTCTTTCAGAGGTGAAGTGACACGCATCAACGTACATTTTTATGATGACATATTTTTGGGTCAGCATCGCCACGCGCAGTACGATGATTATTATTTTGCAGGTGACTTAAATGGAGTCCAAACTAACATTGTACTTGAAAGTAATAAAGTCCTAAACAGTAAGAAAGAGTGTACACGAGCACACTCTAAGTAAATAGTATGCACAGTATTTTTTATATACGAGAGTAACATCAGGGGAATCGCAGATGTGTTGCCGGCCTTTTAAAAAGGAAAAATCACTGGTGGCAGTCGATTACACACGGAAGTTGTGCGAGGAAGAAAACTTCTTCTAAATCGCACAGTGTTGAACCTCCAATCATCAAGATGGTATGGATAGTATCACGAGTTTTGTCGCAATGTATGATGGTGAAATTGAGCGGCTGGAATTAGTCCGAACAATTATTCAGAGCATCCGAATGTCTAATAATGCAAAGATGCAAGATCTGCGCTCGATAGAAAGCAGTAGTTTGTTTATATTACGCAGTTTTAGAGAGTCAAGCTGATCAAAAAGAGCTCGGTCGCCGACGATTCGAACCGCTCTGCGCCGGATGCGATCAAATGGAATATCTTAATGTATGGTTATAAATAAAATTGAAAAGTCTATTTGTAATATAAAAACGACTGCCTTTTATCGAACGCAGGGTGCTATTGGCATGTCATTAAGACCTGAATAACCAATTATACAAAATTTTGCCTGTCCGTCTGGGTCTAATCTTCGGAAGTCGAAATGGCTGAACCGATGGTGATGAAACTTCACGAACAGATGCACAGAGCAATGTCGAGAGTGATAAAAGCTATACCTTTTTCTGAAAACATGGAGATTTAATTTGTAAAATGGAAACATTGGTAAAATTAAATACAAATGGACATTTTTTTATTGAATAAGGGTAACAAACGAGCACACAGTCCACCTGATGGTAAGTGGATGCTGTGGCCCATAGATGTCTACATCTATCCTCGATTAAGAATCAAAACACAAATGCGTGGTCACCTCTGAGGACTAAGATGGAATGCCTCGTTTCCAGTAAAAAAAGGTATTGTTATTGAAGACATTGATGATTATTACAATTATGATTATTTTAAAAAATTTAAATGACGCCACATTAATAGATGCTCCCTGGTGAAGTCGGGGCAAGTCGCTAATAAACAATAAGTTTTGACAGTTCAGTAACACTAACCCTAAGTTTTTGGTTGCGGCTCTGTAAAGCACGGGTCCGAAACCCATTCGAAATAATTATTTATATAGCCTATAAAAATAGATTAGAGTTTTAATATTTGTTCATATGCAATTGCAATTTATGTAAAACTCGACGACGATACAAGAAAAACTCTTTGTGTGTTGGGGGGGGGGGGAATTCTTTTAAAAAATCTACTGGCCTGCCTCTTTTAAAGCAGAAAGGATTAAATATAAGCTCCTCTTTGCTACCCCCTACTGGGGTCACTAATCCCAGTATCCTCTAGGAGATTACTGACACAAGGATCAAATAAAACTATCGCATACCCCTTAGTCAATCTTCATCAGTTTTATATAATATGGTTATTGTCTGCCCCATTGGTCTAGTGTTCGTAAACGCAACTAAAAATCATAAGATCCTGGGTTCAAATCCCGGGTCGGACCAAAATTAATTTTACGGTTTTTCAGGAAATTTTCAGTAGCAGCCCAGAGTCAGGAAATTGGTGGTGTTTCACACTCGTGAAAACACGTAAAGCCAATCGTGTTGAATCGACGTCCCATCAGATTATGAGAATGAGAGAATAGAGAGTGCATCTTTATAATGATAATACCAGCGTACCCATTCGTGCACTATGATTTTGACCTAAGCGTATGTTTAGTCTCTGTTGAGACCAGACACCATGACCGAAATTCGGTCTGGAGGACATTTTATAATTATGAGAAGTTAATCTCTACCGCCATCTATCGGGGGCTTAAATCTTTATATATTAAATCGACAGCATCTGCTCTTTCTTCTTTCTTTCTATTTTATAACATTACACATATACACTAATTTCAGGTGCAATTGGGGGCTTACTCAGTCTTTTCCTTGGCTTCAGCATCATAAGCGTCGCTGAATTGGTCTACTTCGTACTCCTGAAGCCAGTTCATTTGGCTCTTAAAGAAACCTTTAAGAGAATTGTTGAATAATTGCCATTCATCTAACATTGACTTACAACTTTGTGTGTATTTTATCTAGGTATTATATAAGTGATTTTATTTTTATATATAATAAGTGTAATAAATACATTGTAAATAAACGTATTAGTCTTAGAATTTTTTATTTTTTTCACTTATGGTAACCATCGGCTTTACTTAAGAGTATAATCGTCGATTATTGGCTTACTTATATTGAATATTAATTATATATATAATCTGTATACATTTTCAATTCAATGGCGGAGGTTCTCAATTCGATTGTTTTTTATGTATGTTACCTCAGAACTTTTTTCAAGGTAAACCGGTTTTTAATGATTATTTTTATTTGAAAGCTGGTACTTTTCATGTGTTCCCATATAAATTTATTCAGGATCTGACCAGTAGTTAATAGTTATTGAGTAATCCTTAAAAAAGCGTATTTAGAATAATTAATAGAATCAGGCGTTACTTTGCGGAAATCGTCAGATAGTAATTGTTCGCATGTATTATCGCATGATGCGGTCGCTCGTCACTTAAGTAGGGAGCGGTGCTTAATTATAAATAGTAACTGTTTTGGCTCATCGCTCACGTCCCGCCCTGAGCTGTAAGAGCCGCATAGGCTTACAGCACCAACATCATCGAAACCAGAGAGTCATCGCACACTAATCGGTCAGCTACCGTAGAGTCTACTTCAATTTAGGATTCCTCGTGTAGAGGCGAAACACGTGTCGTACTATCGTCGGGTGTGTGTCTTTGCAGAGTATTGTGGTGTCGGGAGTAATGGTGCTGGAATTAGTGGTGACGAGGAATAGTGCACGCAATTGAGGGAGGGCGGGAGGTGCTCTTCAAACTAGGTAAGACACATCATTTTATTTCATTCGGCGAAGTAATACTTACCAATTTTAATGCGTATATAATTGACTTCGAGTACATTGAAGATGATCTCATTTTATTTAAGTCGGTTCTAGAAAAATTTTAATTTTACCACTTGTTATGGTCATACTATGGTCCTTCGTGTTTACAGTGATATTTTTGAATGGGTAAGAGGTGTTGCAGGTGATATGCTAACCTTCTCAAATGTGACCTTAACTGCGCATACTAAAAACAGAATAGTAGGCTAAATTCTAAGAAATCTATCGAAAGCCGCTAATATTTGTGGGTGCCTGGCACGTGAGAGTACGGACTCGTACGCACGAGCCACAGCACGCGCACGAAGACATTGCTAAGTCGGGAAGATCGGGCCGAGTCGGGAACGCCTGCCGCAATGCTCCGCAATCACCTTTGTTTGAGACTTTGTTGACTTTTAATAAAAACTAGCTGTTACCCGCGGCTTCGCCCGCATGGTCACTGGGAAATGAACTATCCATTGCTTTTTGAATTGAAAGAAAACTGAGTTTTATAGATTTGTCAGAGATGCAGCCATTAAAAGGAAACTGAGCAAAATTGATTCGTCAGCCTATTTAAATGTTTTGAAACGCAGCGTATAGGAAAGCATGAAAATAGCCTGTTTATTCAAAATGGAAATGGGATATTTTTTTAATTAAAGGAAACTGAGCATAATTATCCGTCAGGGATGCAGACTTTTGAAAAGAAACTGAACTAAATTGCTTTTTCAGAGATGCAATTTTCTGAATGAAAGAACATTGAAAGGAAACTGAGCTTAATAGGTCCATCAGAGGTGCAGCATTTGGAATTGAAAAGAAACTGAGCTAAATAGGAAATTTTGAATTGAAAGGGAAGATCTGTGGGAATTCTGATTAATTGATTGTGGGAATTTTGGGAAAAAAACTAACTGAACACTATTTTAAGACTCTACTGTACACAGTGTTATATGTTTTACCATTCGGGGAAAGAATGTGGAGATTCTGGGCATTTGACACACGCGAACATGCTACATACAGCTGACCATGAGAGAAGCATGGTTTTTCTAAGTTGACCCCCGCTACCTGTAACGTTTGCCCTTGCGCTTTATTAATTGTCATTGCAAAACTGAGCTTAAAAGGGAACTGCAACCTTTTCAATTGAAAAGGAAGATCTGTGAGAATTATAGGGATCCGTGGTATAATAACATTTTCACCTTTTCCTACGCCTGTCAAAATCGTAGCACCGATTATATTCCGTCCAAGATGTGTCACACGCAGCCATGTCCCGTTACATAACAGAGGAGCATCTACATTTCGCATTAGCATGACTGGGACGCCTAATTTTAATTGAAGCTTATGTGAGGGCACACCTGACAACTCTAGAGAATTTAGAAACTCTGCGGGATATGAAGTGCTCTGTTCTGTGTCCATAACTGTGTCTACTGAGAAATACTCTGTTATTTCTCCTGCTACTTCGCTTAATATATCTGAATTTATTTTGTTAACGCTCTCATTTTTTGATGCAAGAATCGCCCTTTCACATAACCATTTGTCTTCATGCATGTTGTTTGTTAAATCTGAATAAACGCTCACAATTAATTCGGAATGACTCTGTACTAAATTACAAAAATCTCTCGTCAATTTAACGCAGCCTTTTTTTAGCTTTTGTCCTTTGCAATAAATCAATGGGTATTATTGCAGAGCGTCATAAAACTTGTGTGTATCGGCTATCCGTTGCAACGTATTATCACGTGCTCACAAGACAATGTCTCGTGAAGAAAATTGATCACCACTAATTACGGCTGCTATTTCGTTTATCAAAGGTGCATGGTAGCGCCTTTCATGCTCTCCACGATGGGTCCGATCTGTCCTCTCCTCCTCGATGAATCCTCTTCAGGTGGGTTTTCTAAAGCAGTTTTAAATGTTTTAACCAAAATGTTACGTTCATGCAAGAATCTTTGAATTTTGAACACTGTGTCTCTCTCAACTCCCTGGATAAATTGGCAGCGACGGTCTACCTCAATTCCTTCGTCACCCATAAAATATACTTGTAAAAATTTATGCTGTTCGTTTTCAGCTGGAAAGCTTGAAAGTATGAGTTATATTTCCGGATCCTGTTTAAAAAGCGCCGTGACTCATTAGCATCATATAAAAGAGTTTTCAAAGGTTCTTCTGGTTCCCCAAGTAACAGAAGAGACAATTTGCCATTGGAACAGCACATGCCTGCGGTCTCATCTTTCCATTTTAAAGCGCTGCAAAATCGACACGCCTTGTCCATCATTCCGATAACAACTAACCTGTGATTTTTATAATCAATCAACGGATCATAATTGAATGCTGCGTCATTAAAAACCGACCCATTGTAAAAAAAGTAGCCTATGTCACTCTACAGCCACCGAACTATCCCCATACAAAAATTCATGCCATGCCGACGCTCTGTTGCGACGTGAAAGAAGGACAAACAAACAAACACACTTTCGCATTTATAATATTACTATGGATTTTCTAGCGGTATTTTTTTCGTTTTATTTTCTATTCATGTAAAATATACGTTTTTTGCTAACATATGCGTTTTTTTAAATAAATTAGGTTTTTATTAATAGGTTATATTATTATATCTATACATAGATACATATTACATCCCTCATAAGTACATTAATTATGATATCATATCAGATCAAATTAATTTTAACCATAAATCTGAGCTGACACCATATGCTCAGTGTTAATTTACTCGTATTTTAGTTATTTGAGAGAAAACAAAAGAAATGACTAACAAAAATTATGATAAACTACTTATAAAACTAATGCGACTTAGCTGTTAAACAAAAAGACAGTGACAACCCTGCAACAGTAGGTAGTGTGCAGTACAACTATTATTAACAGTAGTAGTAGTGCAGTAGGTCTCGCGCGGCGCGGGAAAAATCCTACTATTCTGTTTTTACTATGGCATTGTGCACCCTGTTGACTTATAATAACTATTATGTAATTTTGTTCTCATACTGATTCACCACAACTTAGCTGCGGAAACATATCATCGGTTACCCAAATAATTCCATTTATCCGATTATTTACAACCAACCCATCACCCACCCCTCACCGTCACCACCCTGTTACCTATTTCTGCCGCTAAAAAACAAATTCTTGCGCTGTGTTCCGGTCTGAAGGGTATAGAGAGAGTATAATTGTACAGACAATGAGACATTCTATCTTAGTTCTCAGAGGTGACATCTGGTGGGTCGTTGTCGAATTTTTGACGGACAAAACGCAACCGTTTTCCCGATGCAACTGGTTTGAGGACGGATTAAAGGACGAAACCAACACGGAATAGGATTGCGTTTTCGTCGAGTGAAATGGTTGCAGTTTCTTAAAATTTTTAAGTATTTGAAATGTATGCAATGGTTTTTACTAAATAATTCGCTTTATCGATCGACTTTAGTTAACAATGAAATACTCGTAAACTTCATACTTTTCCAGGCTCAGGACTGGCTGGGACAGACTTAGGGTTACCATTAACATAGCGACTGTGTTTCATTGAAAAAAAGTTCACTTTTTATTGTAAGAAGTCTCTGTCTACGTTCGTAAACGAACGCGGAAGCAAAGACTACAATATAACGCGGTACTTTAAGGACGACGACGCGAAGAGTGAGATAGATAATTTAATCATTGCCTTCTCGACTGTATTTTCGTAGGCGTAAAATAAAAAATCGCATTAAGTGTTTGAACCCAGGACGTAAAACGGTTTCACTGTCGCAGAACACAAAACGGTATTTGTAAACGGTTCGTCGTCACTACGCCCACTACTTTATTAGAATTTGGTTGCAGGCGTCCATGGACTACAGTAATTACTTACCACCAAGTGAACTGTAAGATTTTTTATCACTTCCTTTTTTTAGAAAACGTATCTGATTTTTAATTTAGGTTAGTTATAGGTGTCCACGAGCTACAGCATCTGCTTTCCATCAGGTAGAATTAGTACTCGTTTCTCACTTAAGAGCAGTTACATCTATAAATACGGCCATCACCACTGTCACTATTTTTGACTTTTTTGTGTCATTTACTATCGCCGTGGTAGCTTAAAAATAGGGAAAACGCCTTATAATAAGGCTTATTGTCATACGAATCACTTGAAGACAGGTCTATCTCGGGTGCCAAAACAACTAGAACTGTTAAATGCAATTTTACATGCCGATTTACCACGTGGTCGAACGTTAGAGAATGTTTACTACATTATCGAGGAACTTTTGTGTTCGAGAAATTAATAATATTTTGAAGACATATAAAGTCGATCGTTCAATATAGCAGTACGACTACATCTTGCATTCCATTTCCTTCTCATAAAAGGAAGTGATGAGATATCCAACTGTGGGACGTTCTACGTTGTGATAATTATTTACAGGAATTTTGGAAGTGAAAAATTTCAATGAATTTTGATCTCTCTATTTCATTTTCAAGCAGCAATTGCAGAAAATGAAACAAACAGGGACGAAATATGAATGATATGGATCAAAATCCACTTGAAACTAATGGTGGTTAATATAGCGCATAGCGCCATATTATAGTGCGCTATCTCTCCACAACACAGCGCGTGCTATGTAAGAAGTCCCCCTGGCGCTATTGCGCTACGGCGCTATGGCGCTATTAGGTATTAATATCTAGCTAGCGATAACTAGTTCCAGCAGCGGCGCTGTTGGGAGAGGACATGTGACGCAAATTTGATTTAGTAGCACGCTATTCATCGAGCGCGACGTAATTTGGTGTTAGACGTTGTTTAGTTAGTGTATACTGTATATTTATAAGTGATCGAAGGACACAGTTGTCTGCTGTTAAAGAAGACTAACTAATTTTTTTAAATGTAAATAAAATATGGATACAAAAGTGATAGTGTATGTAAATAGTTGATTTTTATAAATACAATCAATGAACTTGTAAATACACAGTTATTTGATTTATAATTTATATTAAGGTTAAAATAACGTTTACATCAATTATAATAAAAAAAATTATTTTATTTCGTTTTAAAAAGTACATGCCTTAAAATATTTTTAGGATTATAGAAAGTCGTAAGCCTGAAAAGTATGAAAAAGCGTTCATTGGTTTTTCTTTACCGCTTTATTTTATTTTAGTCTAAAATGCAACTTATTACGAAATAATGTTCATATATACCATGCAGTCTATCCAATGAACGACATGTATTGTAACGTGCTACGAGATATAGCGTGCTGCAAAACTAAACCGCTTGCCGGCCTCCTAAATGCTTTCTTATAAATAGCGCGCTACAACATAGCGTATTTAATAGCGCGCTAGAAATTTATAGTTTATAGTCTGTAGCGTGCTATTGATTTATAGTCGTTTTGAACAACTTTACTTGAAACCATTATTTAAACGAAAGGAATGTTGCTACTATCTGCCATCAGATTGTACCTACACTCCTTTCGATTAAGTTCGAGCCAAAAAACGAACGTTTCTATACTGTTGAAAGCAGTCACTTTAAATTCACTGCAATCGATATTAGCTTAATATCCCAAGTCGGTTATGATTCGTAAACATAAAAAGATTTTTTGTATAATAAGGTTTGATTTTGTATAATTTCAAGAAGCCAGTTAAAAAACTACTATATCTAAAATTGGCTCCAGTAGCAGCTCTATTTTGTCTAATGCAAAGAGTTATAGTTATACATATTCTCTACGTTTTAACCAAAGAGTATACAATCCCCACTTTTTAGTCAAACGTAAACACATAAATGCTAAAATTTATAACCTATATTTTAGTCTTCTAGTATAATATATTAGTAACCTATGAATATGTCTATGTATTATATGTATTTATGCCTGGACGAATTGTCACACTATTTATAGTTTCTTTGAATATTTCTTATTTATAGTCACGGATATGTTTTCCCAAGATGCTTTGTATGGCTTCACCGAGTCTCTGAGTTGGCTCAGGAGCATGAGTGACAAGTTAAATGCGGAAGTAGTGGAACAAGTAAACAATACCCAAGAACTAGTGATGAAAAATAATTTTATGAAGGAATCTAATGAGTATTTACTAAAAAAGTGCTTGGAGGAAAGGTATATACGCAGTATAACAGAAAAGTTTTTGAATCTTTTGATTTGTCATCAATACATTTCAGATAAATTTTGTCTATTAACTCTGTTTTACATAGGTCAACTGAATAAGCTACAAGACGAGCGAATTATTTTGTCATATATTAAAATACATCATACACTGCTGTGATAAATAAAGATGTGAAAAAAAGAAAACTGATAAGCTTAGGTTTTTTTTAATCTAAGGGTGTAAAGGGCATATGCCAGTATTCTTTTTTTATAGAAAAGGGGGCAAACGAGCATTCGGCTCACCTGATGTTAAGTGACTACCGTCGCCCATGATCAACCGCAACACCAGGGGAATTGTAGGTGCGTTGCCGGCCATTTAGAAAGGAGTAAGCTCTTTTCTTGAAGGTCCCCAGGTCGTATCGGTCCGAAAAAATCGCCGGTGGTAAACTATTCCACAGAGAGGTCGTACGCGGAAGAAAACTCCTTGTGAAACGTACAGTGGTTGACCGCCAAGCATCCAGATGGTGTGGATGGTATCGGGACGTTTGCCGCGTAGTGCGTTCACGAAATTTGGCGGCTGAGATTAATCTGAATAATTCCTCAAAGGGGTTCTTTTTAGCGGTTAACGCGCAAACTTGTGTCTTCTGGGGGTTACGCTGGACTAGATTTAGTCGCCCCCAATCCGAGACTCTGGCCAGCAAAGACTCGACTTCAGACACAAGTTTGTCCCGGTACTCGGAGACGTTTTTCCGAGAAATATTGGCACGGCCGGTATGGCAGACATAAGAAGTTCCGGCAACTGACTGACGTTGAAATATCTTCATCAGCCTGTAAATATTAACTGGTGGAAATGGAAATAGGCCCCTTAGAGACAAGTAAATTCCTTAGCCTTAAATTCGTCACACTTTACAGGCAGATTGACGCACGCGGTACCCACTAGACGTCTCACAGCTTTAGGTTTTTGACGCTTCTCATCTTCACGAGTCTGAATATTTTATTTATTTATGTAAACTGTACCGTAATACAGTTTATATAAATAATGTTTCTTTAAGAGCAGAGGCAGCTCAGCGGCGATGAGTAACCTGGGTAAGATACCTGCCGGCACCAATGAAATTGTCAATTGCAAATTTAAGTGCTTATTGAAGAAAAACACAAAAAAAATATTTCGAAGACATGTGAAGTTCGCCAACACACATTGGAGCAGCGCGTTAGCAGTGGGGCCTATGTAGGCTGTAACTATACTTTACTTTCCAGATATGTGGAAGCTCACAAAAGTTGTCCCTATACATAAGGCGGATGCCGATACTTTAGTTAGTAATTATAGACTAATTTCAATATTATCAACCTTTCTCAAAATATTTGAATCATTAGTATGTCCCTATATTCAAAATTATCCAAGATAGATTATTACAGATGATCAACATGGATTTGTCAAATTTCTTTGAACTTGCTCTAATTTAGTAACGTTTGTTGAAAACTTGGTGAAAGCTGTAGACAGGCAACATCAAATAGATGTATTCAGATTTCAGTAAGGCTTTCGACCGAGTTTCACATGTTATGCTTTTAAGAAAGTTAGAAGCTTATGGTTTTGCTGGCCATACTCTCACGTGGTTAAGGTCTTATCTGGAAGGTCGAACTTATTTTATTGTTGATAATGGGTTCAGTTCTAACATATTTCCCATCACATCCGGAGTTCCCCAGGGATCGCATTTGGACCCTAAACGAGTGATCTATTGCATACGTGGCGCGTGTCATTAAAATGGCAATATCTTAATAATAATGAATGGAAACTCTATAAAATAATATGATGTTAGAATTATTGTTAAGTAAGCTAATAGAATACGTGTAAATGTGTACTGTGTATTCACATTTTTTTACTTTTTCTAAATTCCATGGTAAAAATGCAAAAGCGATTTTCCAGTAAAAAAAATGTAAAAGGAAAAAAACAATTATTTCAATAAACATTTATTTTATTTATAATAAGATAAATACACTTTACAATAAATAATAAAAAAACACAACTCTGCGTAAATTTTTTTACACCACAAGCTCGACAATAATGTGGGCCACTTAAAATAACCCGAAACAGCCACAAAAAAGGCACATTTTGAACTTCAATATCGACAATTCAATACATACAGATAAGTAAGTTAATGATATTAAAACAATGTTGTACGAGTTAGAGGGAGATATCAAACAGAAAAAAAAAAAAAAAAAAAAAAAAAAAAAGCCTCATTTACATTCAGCCCCTGCCACTGCTCCTCGCGCTGCCGGCAATACTTCGCTAAATACTGCCGTAGAAGGATCGCGGGAAGTATGTATTCACACTCTGCCCTACCACTCACATCACTTTCGGCTTTCGACTATGGCAGACGTTGAAATAATATTACAGCGTCCGCACTGTGTCTTCGTGGAATAAAAAGATTTCAAATTCGAAAGAAGATAGATGGATAGATAGAAAATTTATTTGCTTAAAAAACATGTACATAAGATGATCAATGACGTGGAACTGACATGTTTTGCCATAATTGGCATGCAATAATGAAATGAAATACAGCTAATTACACAAACCCAATGTTACATTTTAAAATTATTGTATTGCTTATAAGTTAGGTACCTACAAACATTCTTTTTGAATTATGTACAATTAAATACTTATACAGATCCACTCTATTTGAATTCTTATACTGTAAATTGTTCAAAAATTATTAATTGAATTATTACATTATTATTACATAAATAATATTAAATATTATATGAGATTAGTTAAGCTATTATTATTTTAATAATTACACTACAGTATTAATTAATTCATAATTTTAACTACAATAAAATTATAATTTAAGTCTAGTCTAGTCTGTGAACACGTACAGGATCGCCCCCGTCACTACATCAGATTTGATAGACCGCAAATCCTCGCTAAAGAACACCGATTCCTTCCAAGGATGATTCTCGAGGCTATTGAAATCAAAAAACATCCTAATTTCAATAGAGAAGATGGCTGGATGCTACCATCTGCTTGGGATCCTATAATAAATAAAATTAAATCCCAACCCAAGCATACAACTGCAAGACTTCAAGATACCATAAGTTCATACTGCATAGATCGGAACAAAAGTTAAATTTTAATCTATGGTAACCGCGGTTAACTATGACATATGGACGTTGAACATCTCAGTCCCGCCCGTGACCATGAGTGCTGTAAAGCGTTCGAAACGTCGGGTATTTAAAAAGTTAAATATACGCGATAAATTCCGTAAAAACTAGTATTATTTCAATACAGCTAATTACACAAACCCAATGTTACATTTTACAATTTATTGCATTGTTTAAAAGTTAGGTACAAACATTATTTTTGAATTCAAATATTATGTACAATTAAATACTTACACAGATCCTCTTTATTTGTATTTATATACAGTAAATTGTTCATAAATTATTAATTGATTATTACATTATTGTTACATAAATAATATTAAATATTATATGAGATTAGTTAAGCTATTATTATTTTAATAATTACACTACTTAGAGTATAAACTAATTCATAATTTTAATTACAATAAAATTATAATTTAAAAATCTCAGGCTATTATGCAAATATTACCATTTAACTTATTTTACATTTTAATAAATAAATAATCAACATGAGTTACTAATCGTTTTTAGAATTAAAATGTCAATGTTCATTAATTCCTTAAACTAAATTTTATATTAATATAATAAATTTGACGAATTTATAATTATTTATGTACACAGGTACTATGTTATCTCAAAAAGAAAATTCGTATTCGTAGAAGATGATGAATTGTGGTTTTTATCGTTGAAATCCAAAAAATATAGTTTTTTCTGATTCCAGCAATTCTAAAAACTTTATTGTATTTTCATTAATCCATTCGAAAGGCATTTTGGTAGATCGTACTTATTTAATAACAAGACGGCACGCACGTCCGTTCATCCAGGCGCTTGGCGCGAAGTGAGCGATGGAGCTGAATGTGAACACTCACTGCCGCTCGCGCTGCCCGTCCTTTGACTTCCGCACGAAAAACCGACATTTGGGGATCGTCGGGCAGTGGCAGTGTCAGCGCGAGTAGCCTGTTTACATACTGCCCTGCCCACTGCCCTGCTCACTTCCCTGCCCAACAGGGCTGAATGTAAATGGGACAGTAGATATCTCCGTAAATTAATTACTCCTCTTTCTCCGCACCTTCGTAGAACTGTACTAGGATTTAATTCCCCAATACCCAGACTTTTCAGACTTTTAAATACTTATAATAATGTAGTAGCCACGACTCTTTTAACGTTTTTTGGCACAAAATTTATCAAAATATTAGGTAATATTGCTTTGTAGTACCAATTTTTTTTGTATTAATTTAATTTTTTTTTAAATTTTGTATTGTATATTTTATATATTAAGGCTTGTAGGAAATGCTGTGAGTACTGCGCGTGTTTACGTATTATTAAATGTGCACTTAGTTTATATCACAGTCTTACAATTAAGCGTATGTATTAGGGTAACATTTGTTGGTAAACCAAATAAATAAATAAATAAAATACTATACCATAGTACTGTGTGGAGGCCGTTATAACATTTCGATTACAGCAGACCTAAAACATTCAGATCAGTGACGGCCAGCGGCGTCAAATGTTAAATGATTCCGTGAATCCAAAAGTGTGATGTTTAATACAAATCCTCCCTGCAAAAGGGGACATGTGCGGCAGTGGACATTTGCAGGCTGATGATGATGATTGAAAAGGTGGAAATCCAGCTGCATATTAGAAAGGCTGACAAAGATTTTAAATACTATTAGTAGAATTTCAGACGTCGCTTCGTGGCGGTGGGTTCTAGATGACCTTGCGAAACGCCTAGAAGATTCAATTGACGCTCTGAAACATGAAAGTGACGCTCTCCGTGTTGTAGTGCATAGAATAGATTATGAAATTAACGCAGCCACCAGCTACGTTGCAAAACCGGGAGCTTTAAGTCCAATGATCGATCATGTTGAAGAAGCAATTATGCAGGTAAACATAGTTTTTAAACTTCTAAATAACAAACAGCTGGCCTGTTTGTCATTTAGATTTCGGTTAGAATATTTCTAAAAAGAAATTTTAATAATTTTCAAACACCACGAAATTAAGCGATGGGCAGAAGTGCATTCCTAATAAAAAGTGCGGTTGCCAACACGCCTGCCAAACGTGGCAAGTATGCCCCCTATAGAGGCAAGTTCTATGAGAAGGCCTATGTTTAGCAGCAGTCTTTTGATAGGCCGTAACGGTAACTCAAATACGTAGCAAAAAAACTACGTACTATCCTATCTCGCCTTAAAAACTCCACTTTAGTGGGAGTTTTTAAGGCGATTGAAGGAATGACCCAGAGCATCTTGTGGCCTGTAATATGTGCCGGTGTAACCATCTCAATAATCTCATCTCAAATTGTCGATGGATCGGAAAGCAGTATCAAGTCTCAGAAATCGAAGACGATTTGAAGATTAATATTAGTGTTTCATTCTTTACAGGAACTGGCGTTCCTGCGTGAAGAAAAAAGAAATTTCGAGAGAATGATTATCCAAGTTAACAAACAGATAGCAGGACTCGAGAAAACGAAGAAAAGAATAGTAGACGATGCATTTAATAAATACCAGGCAATGTCTGTTGATGAAGCATGCTGCCATAATGATCATAAGTTTGTTAATATCGAGAACAATAAAACGAAAAAACCTAAAAAGTTAGTATCATTTATAGAAATAGTAAATAGTAAATCAGCGACTTATTCAAAGATGTGAAAATTAATTAAAAGAGATCCACATGGAAAATAAAACGATGTGTACTTTTCATACACTAGAAATCATACACCACTGTTGATAATGTCACATCATTCTCCTATAAACGAGGCAGCATCAGGAAAAATAGACTATGTGTTGACAAACCGCTATTAATAGCTAGCTAATTTCCACATCTTTAATAATAATTGAGCTTTCTCAAAGAATATGATTTTAAAATATATATATATATATATATATATATATATATATATATATATATATATATATATATATATATATATATATATAATAAAACAAATTCTAATTATTAACGAACATTTTGCTCGAAATTCAGACCCTTATCTCTTGTTCGGTGGGAAAAGCGATGTTCGTCCTTAAAAGCAAGTGGAATAAATGCTTTAAGGCACGCAATCATTACGCGTCAAAAGGTATGTTCTGAATGTTTATTTTTGAAAATAAAAATATAATATGTAAATGTTGAGTAAAGAAATGGGCGATTTATGTGGAGACAACAAAACAAAATGTTTCATTTTTTTCGTCAATAAGTTATAGAATTAGACGAAGACAAATGCACAGAACAATCTTTTAGACTTAGACAGAAAGCGGCATTCCCAATTTAATGTGAGTTTATATCTTACATAGACTACAAGATGGGATGGTAATTTTACGTTATCATAAGACGTAATTTTTAAAACTAATCGTTGATTTTATTCAAATAGATCAGGGCCGCTAGAGTACAACTTTCAATAACAGCTCAGGCGTATGGAACAAGAGTTGATTCTGCTCTTAGAAGACGGTTGCACTCTAACGTTATAAAATTGCAAGATCTCGATTGGCAAAGAGAAGAGGTAAGTTGCTTATATACGTATTTGTCGTATGGCATACAAACTATTAAAGTCACGGTCCTTAAGGTGCACACACATCATGCATGATACCGCCAGTTGGCCGATCAGTCTCGTAAACATTAGGGACGTTTACCTCTTGGTTAAAACGCCACGTTTCACAGAAATGTTTCATGATTGCGACAAATCATACAGACCTTGATAATTTGCACAGCTTTTCGTTCGCAGAAACTAAAATCACTACAACATGTCGATGACATGTTGTACTATTGACTATGACGTATACACGCCGGTTGTGACATGGTGGCTAATCTACCTACGACTTCTACTAAACTATATTTTTGACGTGACTGTTCTACGCGCTCGAACCTTAAAATGCCGAAGGCATGAATGAAACAAAAACTTGTTGTTTTTTTATTTGTATTAGATAAAGCCTTGTATTGCTCTAATCTAAGCTAATAATGTTACATTGTAAAGTGCCCATAAATGTTAAACAAATCAGTTTGGATATTCTTAAGCACGATGGGCTAAAGAGACTTTATCATTCCCATTACAGCCTATCAAAAGTCCACTATTTGCCATACGTCTCAAGCTCGGCAAGGCTGGCAAGTGCAATTCTTTATCATTTTGAGTAGTTCAGGAATCAGTAGCATCAGGAAGATGCTGCTGCCCATCTCCTGGTTCAGCTTTTTTTCACTGCTGCCGCCTATGACAAACACGGGACCATGTATTTTTATGCGTTTTCATTTTCTCACATCCTGTCTCTTTTTACGCTTACCACCGACAATAAAAGTATGTTATAATATATAGTTATAGACTATATATTATGTACCACTGCTGTTTGCCTTGTAGGTCGAATGTCATAATGGCAACTGTTGATCATATGATGATCCCGGGTTCGAATCCCGGATCGGGCAAAAATCAGTTATTGGTTATTCAGTCAAGAAATTTTCAGTAGCAGTTCGAAATCAGTAAATGTTTCACCTGTGTGCTTCAGAAAACTCATAAAGCTATCGGTCCCGCTCGTGATATTTCTCCGATCATGTCGAATTTCCATCCATCTGACTATGACAGTTAGGGAACAGAATGTTCACCTGTCCTTGCGCCGCTAGCTAGTCTCCTACATTGACCGCCGTAACCGAAACCCGTTCTGGAGGAGGACATAAGCATGACCCTCAACTGGGCGCAGGTCTCCTCTCACTTCTGTTAGTAAAGTAAAGTAAAGTTACAGCCTATATACGTCCCACTGCTGGGCACAGGCCTCCTCTCATTTCTGAGAGGGTATTAGGGCAAGGAAGTGTCCACCACGCTGCCCCAATGCGTGTTGGCGGACTTCACAAGTCTTCGAAATTTTTTTTTCTTATTTCTCAGACATGCAGGTTTCCTCACGATGTTTTCCTTCACCGCCGGGCACGTGGTAAATTAGCACTTAAAATTGCAATTAACAATTTCTTTGGTGCCAGCGGGGATCGGACCCGGTTTGCTCGCGTACTGTGCAATTTACAGCGAGCGCTAACCATCTGAGCTACCACGGCTCATCTTATATCACTTCTGTTAGAGTTACGAGAAAGTATGGTATTTCGCCGCGTTACTCAAATGCGTTTTGGCGAATTTTACATAATGTTCTCGAAATATTCTATTGCTCAGATATGCAGGCTTACACACGCTTACAGGCCATTCGGGATTTTCAATCTATGGAAAATGAACTCACCACAACAGAAAAAAGTGTTCTTGATACGATGGATAGACAGAAGACGGTTCAGGATAGGTTGGCTGAAAGAACACTACGACCTTTTGGAGAACATACCTCTGATGGTGTTAACCGTCAGCTGCGTAATGAACTGGGCAAACTTAGACAATTTATCAAGGAGTTAAGGACTAACATACAAATTATAATGTAAGAATTAATAATATGTTTCAAACTATCAATACATACTAAAGCGCACTGATCATTTTTACCGTGTGCTATGTGTAATTACGCCACCACCGTTGGTGTAAGCTATCACCACGTCTCGTCTCCTCACGTTTGTAAGAAGCGGCTATAGGGGAATACCTATACATATATGCATATATGTATATACATACATAGGCAGAGTCCAAAGAACTATAAACTACTTGGACTACGCTTAGTCAAAAAAGTATGGGTACAAAGTTGTATTGTTGTACTTAACAGACATGGTTTAATGGAAAATTGTGAAAGAGGTGTTTGGTAGCTAGCTCATCGCCTGCTCAGTCACAAAATATACATTTAAAATCTGACATTCTTCTGAATAAATATATATACTGCATCCTCTATATAAATAACTAACATAGAGTGTATTTTTGTAATTTCGAAATAACAGTCTCATATTAGGTCTTAAGGCCGAAAAGCCGGACATACCAACGAGCTTAGCCGGACATTTTGGTAAAAATGCCGGACACCCTTAATTTTTTAGTCATATTTTTTTTAAAGTAAAACAATTCTTTTTATTTTTTACCAGAAAACATTCCCAAATCCTAATGAAATAACAATAAAATTGAATAAATCAGTCTTCTTTATTATTGTGGCGTAACTTAATGATGAATGTGAATGAATGATACATGTTTTATTACTCATATCTCTAGTGATATTAGTTATACCGCATCTAACGGGAATACTGAGAAATTAACAATCAAACGGCTCTCATCTCATCTCATTATAACCTCAAACTTATATGTGCGACTGTTTAATAGTTTTTATCGATATTCTATGTTATAATAATGCAGTGTTAATAATAAAAAGTATAAAAAAGTTGTAGGTTCTTCAAAATATTAAATACTAGGTGGATTCTCCGGAACTACTAAAAGATTATTTTTAGTAGTTCGTAGTAAAACAGTTCACGAATAAACAGACTGCGGTGATTTATATGTAGGTATTGATTATTAATTGTACCTATTATTTATCATGATACCGGTTAGATTTTGATAAAATCTTTAGCCAATTTACTATAGTAAATTAGTATCTTGTTTATGAGATAAGTTGGCCCAAAAACGATTGTCTCCTTTAAAAAACCTAACAAAAGCCAGACGGGCCGGACACCGTCTAATTTGGCCGGACACGTAACCAAAAAGCCTGACTGTGTCCGGCTTTATCAGGACGCCTGACAACGCTACATTAAGGCATGAGTAATCATTTTTAGTACCTACTTTTATCTACCTGTCTGTACGTCCGATCTATTCTTCGGAATGGCTGAACCAATTGTAATGAAACTTGACAAACAGATAAAGCGCAGTGCTAGGGGGTGATCTACTGTATTTTATCCCAAATTCTGGATGTTTTTTTAGAAATCCAAAAATTGATATAATAAATGGTTTTTGATGATTATTATTAAATCTAAGTCGGATCTTACATAGGCAAAACCTGGCCGACCTGCTAGTATATAAATAGGGAAATGCCAGAACGATTGGTATCCGATAGATAGCAGTATAACTATTTGAATTTTACAAGTGTCGGTATATGTTAAATACCCAGTACCGATGATTTCCACTTTCCAAACCATCCTCCACAATCCGGTTACCGACCATCCTCCTTAAAATGGGAGAGGCTCATATCCAACATTTTCATTCATCATTCACCATCATTAGTGTTGATGAAGAACTTATTTAAATTGTTCAAGAAATACTCTGATATCTGCCGTGTATAGCTTCGCTCAAAACCTAAATTTAAGCTGTAAGTTCCACAGTTTGTTTAAAGCTTCAATAAGTCTATGATAGGACAATGGATGGAAGGAACTATTCTAAATCAAGCTCGCCTTTATCTAATAGTTAGAGGAAATGCTCGGCAAATAATTATGCTCCTGCAGACTACATAGGATTCATCATCTTCAATCTAAAAAGATAGCCTCTGTTAAACATAGGCCTCCTCCAAAATGAGACGACTTCCTGTATTTGCCACGCCTGGTAGGCGAATTGACGATAACATTCCTCTTACCTCTTCTCAATAAGATATGGTATGGTTGTACCAGCATCTGAAGCGAACATTATGAAATAGCATAGTTCTGCTGTTTCGTATAGTGAGTGAAAAGATCTCGAGACCTTTCTAGCCATTAACTAGGAATCTTAATTCTCAGGGGTGACAACGCATTTGCATTTCAGTTCTTAATCAAAGATTCTGATGATGTCCAGGGACGTCCCTATCAAGTTTTTAAAGTGAAGCGAGAACTCATTGTGGCGTCTCAGATGTGCAATACTTATTAGAGACTGATTAATATTATAAATGTGGAATTTTGTTTGTTTGAGTGATGGTTATAGTTTCACGCCCTAGCTAAAAGTCTAAACAGCTCAGAACAAAGTGTGGATGTGAGATAGATTATGATCTGGAAAAACAAAAAAATCCCGCTCTCGAATACTAAAGCCTGCTAAGTTCTTGCAGCACCAAAACTGCGTGCGTAACAACTGTGTGAAACCCATGTACTGTATCAGGTTTACTAAGCTAATACCTGACATCCAGTTCGGGTTATTAATCAACTGAATTAGGATTTATGTTTTCTATAGAGGCGAGAGCTCGACGACCCTGAGGGCATTGCCTTAACCACCTTTAAGTCGCGGCCTTTAGAACCGCGGGTTCGAATTCCGCACCGAACAAGTATTTATATTCTACAAATAATTGTTCCGGGCCTGAATGTATGTATGCAATTTATGTATGAAATCTGTACTGGCAGGCATGACAAGATTATAGAACGAAGAGTGAATGGGGCTCTTTACAATGCTATGTAAGGAAGGTTACCGATTTTAATGAAAGTTGTGAGTGGCAGAAGAGGCTCAACCAGAGGAAGCACCAGAGATTTTATCGGATCGATATGACTTAAGGATATTCAAGAAAAGTGCTTTCTCTTTTTTGAAAGCCCGGCTACGCATCTGCAATTCCCCTAATATTGCAGTTGTTCATGGGTGACGGTAGTCACTTCCCATCAGGTGACCCGCATGCTCGTTTGCTCCCTCTCCTATAAAAAAGTTAAAAGTAAAATTATTGCTTTAGAAATGCGGTCAACGTGCTTAATATTAGAGGTGACTCTGTATGATAACGTGAGAAATTGTGTGGTGAGAGAAAAGTGTGGCTTTAATGGTTTGGTCACTTAGAAAGAAAGAGGAAAGAGTAACGAAGTAAATTTATCATGCAGAAGTCGGTGGCAGTGTCAGCAAATATAAAAAAAAAACGTTTTTGGACCAAATTGGTAATATATTGAAGAGGGGCTTAAGTAATTAAAAAAGTATCTTTAATCAACGAGTCGGTATGCATGAATATAAGCAATATGGATGCGAAAGAATCGTAAGAGGTAGGATAGTGGCAAACGGAAGTCCGAAATCTCTGCCTACCCGTCTGAGTGGCAGGCGTCAGAGTATATATATGTTATGTATGTCAAATAAATTACAGTAAGGAAATTACAGATACTGTTGTGGGCTTGCGGGAACATAATGCAAAATCTAGGATGTTTTCTTTTTAATAGGATAAGGGTGACAAACGAGCACACAGACCGCCTGATGGTAAGTGGTTGCTGTGGCCCATAGACATCTACATCCATCCTCGATTACGTATCAAAATGCAGATGCGTTGTCACCCGTGAGGACTAAGATGGAATGCCTCGTTTCCAGTAAAAAGTATATCCGGTTCTCTGCACTCACCATACGAAACACAGCCAGCATTAGGCTACTATTTTCACGCTGGTATTATGTGAGCGCGTGGTCCTTCCCCGGTCGACCCGACCCATTCGTATTATAATTATAGCAGTAATATAGTTGCAGCATGGCTCTACCACGTCAAAATTGTTTGCTGCAATAATCTTAATATTTTCTACCCAAAGTAAAATACACTAATTTCTTCCAGCTTCTTAAGAATAGGTTACTAAGGGTAAGTTTATACTTCTACACGAAAAGGATAAGTTCCAAACAGTAAAAACAACCGCTTGGATTATTAAATTTATGACCTTTTGTCATGTCCTATTAAAAATCCTCAAATTCGCAAAAAAATTGTGGGTCACTCATGGGCAAAAAAACTATCCTATCTTTCAAGTTGGACTAAACTGCACACGGTGTGCAAATTTGATTAAAATCGAATAAGTAGTTTAGGAGCCCACCGCGGACAAACAACGTGACACGTAATTTATATATATTAAGATACAAAAATAAAATACCATGTTACAGATCCTTACAAAATCATCTCAGAGGGGCTATAGCGCATATAGACTGCAACGCCGAAGACATAGCTCAAGTGGTAAAAATAGACCAAGAAAGACTGCGTGCTCGGTTAGGGGATGAAACAGGAACAAATGTGAACGCAACGAACACCGCATCTTTACCTCAGCCACGTCACGATTCTTCTGAGAGACGAATGGAATATCCTCTCGATGCTATTAAGGAAGAGGACGAAAACGATTTATTTTAAATTTTTTTATTGTTTTAAAACATTTTATAAATATATTTTTATATGTAATAACTTCTGTTGTATTTACTGAGAAACATTAAAATAAACGATTGTAACATATGTGTTTACATTTTACATTAACCCTTTCGCTGTCTTATGCACTACTTATAGGTCATTGCTATTATCTTACTATTGTGTCTGAAAACCGGACAGTGAAAGTGTTAACTTGATTTCGGGAGATATCCACAAACAACGTTACCATTTATGAAACCTTTTTTCTTTTTTAAACAAACTTCAAAGTGTGGTATCAAATAAAATTGATGAATAAATTTCACCCCAAAATTGACGAAATAGGGGATGAAGTCATGAAGTTTTTAATGTAACTATTTAGACGTCATTATACTTGTTAAAAAAAGCTTTTAATAAAAAGAAGCAGACTGCAAAGTAAAAATAATAAAACTCCCGAATGAATGAGTTTCTGAAGTACTTACTTCTGTACACTGTGCCTTAGCATAAACTTAGTAAGCTAATAAATATTATGAAGTCATTAATTTATTATTTCTCGTTCTTGAAAAGCGTTTTTGTTCAAGAGCCGTTAAAGGAAACAGAATTGTGTCTGTGCTTTGCACAATGTTGTTATAGTGCTTAGACATCATCAGTTGTATGTTTGTGATACACCACTATCGAGTATACGGTATATACTCGTAATAAATCGAGTACCATCGACAGATACACAAACAATTTCTCGCGTAGTAGTGTCACAAAAGATTAGGACGGCCCCGTGGTGTGAGTACCAAACGGGCTATATTTGCTGGCAGATTTCGACCAAACCACAGTTAGGCATTACAATACATTAAATTACACCTAATGTAGATGATCACTTTATCATACCAAAAATGGATACCTAATAAAAGATTCAGAATTTTAATATATGAACATCATCATCATCAACATTTCAACCCTTCACAAGTCCACTGATGAACATAGGTCTTTCCTATGAAATGCCACAATGCACGGTCTGGCCAGTTGCCACTTCAGCTTTCCGATCCATTGCTCTATGTTGGTTTATATGAAACGTATAAACTATCACACAACATAGCATTTTTTTTTCAAAAAATACCTATTCGGATTAAACAGTAAACAATTTATTTGTAATTAATTATTATATTTATTATTGGAAACAGACAATCAGTTTTAAATTCATGGAAGTAATACATATTTTTAAATTATGGAAGACATTTAAATAACATATTTGGTACACATATATTTACAAAAATAGAAATAGTTTAACATAAAAATAAGCATTCGAAGCAAAGGAACAAAATAATCATTCAACAGATCTTTGAACTGTGTCAATTATTTTAATTAATTTACAAAGGTACAATTATTTTAATTAATTTACAAAGGTACAATTAATTGACAGCAAAGTAATTTGAATATGTCACTGGCTAATTGCAAACTATTAATTTTATAACAATACTTGCAATATTATACACTAGAGAAAATTGTGAAACAACCATTTACAATCATATAAAGCAAACAAATTCAATAGTTTAAAATCTTTCAATCTCTTGCGATCAAATTGTGAGATAGTATGTAACAAACGGCAAGATGCGCTCTGATTGGTTTAAATATGCACATGTTTTACTCCCCACCTAAGACCCACTTACACCGCCATCATTGAGGCACTGAAAAAGATAAGTCAGTGTATATTGTGTTCTGTTAAGTTTGATAAATTAATTTATACAAATAAATAAAATTGTTGTGTCTGTTTGTAACATCAAAATAGTTTTTTACTAAAATGTACTTACGGTACTTACATGAAAGTATAGATGGTAAAGTAAAAAATGATTTACAAAAAGAATTACATGTGATCTACATTGAATAGAAAATTATTCTATTCTATAGCAAAAACACAATTTTTTAAATTTTTGTCTGTCTGTCCATCTGTCTGTTTGTTCTGGCTAATCTCTGAAATGGCTACACTGATTTTGACAGGACTTTCACCGGCAGATAGCTGATGTTATAAGGAATAACTTAGGCTACTTTTACTTTAGAACACAATTAGGGTTCCACGCAAAAAAATTAATACCTCCAAAATCCAATCATAATAAATTACATACAGACAAATTTGCAGGGAATAGGTAGTATATTACATTGATCTATGTCTACATTGTTACTGATATGAGTTAATAGATGCTTTCATATATTTGATAAAGTTAACAGAAGTCAGTTATTTTAATGAATTATTTTAAACTGTACTAGACACATCCCAGGCACGTTACAATTTAACAGGACCAGTCTCACAGAAATTCAGATAGATTGTAAAACTGAACTGACCCTAGATACCTGGCATGTTCATTCACAACCTGACAGCAAGAAGGATTTTTTTATTTGGGATGTTCACAATTTTTGAACGGCTTACAAACTTGCAATATTTTTTATAAACTTATTCGCAATTTTTCAGTGATCTGATCTGAAATTCCTACCTAAAGTACATTGATTATGAATATGCGATCAATTATGCCATGAAAGCTAGTTTTATATAATAAAGTATTATATTAGTAAACAACACTTACTAGTTTATATAGAAGCATAATTTGAAACAACTCCTTTATTACTATTAATCATCATTGATCATTCAACTTGAAACTGTTTTAACATGAGTAGTTACATATTCTGATACAACAAAAACATACATAGTACCAACAGAATATTGAGATTGTTAATGAACACAAATAGGCAACTATAAAACAGATGGAATGTATGTTACAATAGACTTCTTTAACATAGTAAACATAGTGGAGACAAGTCTTGAGCACAGGACACTTAATAGCTGGAGCTAGTTTGCATAGAGTATTTTATACAGAATAACATAACTATGGTCTTTGTATTTATAATCAGTAATCTACTAAATCAATAATGGTACAGCTCTCCCATGTATCATGAATAATTGATACTTAGTTATGGACTACATGAATATAATATAATAATAGCATGATGACCAGTAGATACCAACACATAACAATCCTATGTAAACCCCCCAAAAACAAATGTATTTATTCGTTATAAAACTGAAATTGCGAGTATTCTGACTGAATAAATAAATTTGTAGATCTGTTCGGCCGATCTGCCAAATCAGTGCTCAAGATCTGTGAAAATGGCTAAATGTAACACGTGTTAAAAAGCTGCTAAAATTTATAGATTTAAAAATATATTATGATTTTATTTGTAGATCTATTTCACTAAATTATTATAAAATAAATATTTTTTCTAATATTCACTTAACTAAGATGGGAAATAAATAATTGGTGAAATGTGACAAATCTATAAATTAACTAAATTGGTTCAAATGTGACTCGCTATTGACATGCTGTTCAATATTCTGAGAATTACAAATTACTTCAACATTGCATTTATTACAGTAGGCAAATTTCTCAAATTCATTGGCTAGGTAACTAACAATAGACATATCTTGTCCTTCCATTAGGTCTTCAATCTCCATAAACCATTCCATATGATGCTCATCCTCATCAATATGCTCCAGGATATTGAGAACATTGCTATCAATGTATACATCACACACTTTGCACCATACTTCATCATCATTTTGAACTCTAAATATGCCATTAAGTGGTTTCAGTTTCTCCACAATGTGGGAACGATGACTTAGGCTGTTGACATGTTCCTCTATGTTTGGAAGAGTGCAATGAATATTGTGTTTGCACACTTCGCAAAAAACGTCTTCGGTATCGGAGGATAAATAAGCATTGAGACTGATAAATTCGCCATCCACTAAATCATCCATCGCAGCCACCCAATTTGCATGAGCATCACCTTCTATGTGTTTCGTTATAGATTCATTGTCCGGCAAATATGATTTGCAAGGCTTACAGTACAAGATGTCCGTATTAAAAGATATGCCGTTTTCTGTCATCAATTCAATGTTTTCTTTGTGTTTCGAACCGTTTATGTGCTGTTCAATACACTTATTTGCTTTAGGTATATACACCCCACAAAAAATGCAACGCACCCGCGTCTTCGAGTTTGCAATTATTCCTAAAAGTACACTAGTTTTCATTTTTAAGCTTTTGAGCAAAACCAAAATTTAATTGTATTGAGAAACTAACGTGCAACAATTGATTTATTAATAACTACCTAAAGACTTAAAATTTCGTACTTGCTAATGATTTCTTTGAAATTGAATTGAATTGAAAGAAAAAGCTGGAGGTGGGGGTTAAGGGAGTTGAGGCTGACTGACAGATGACAGCGGACAGATGACAGCTATTATAATAATTTTACTTTGTCTATGCTCCTAACATAGCAAAAGAGCGTAGACATAGAAACCTATAGACACCGCTATAGCGTGTCGCAGAAAGAGACAAAAAAAATACGTCACTACATTTAGGGTTACAAGTGTGAGGAAAAATTTACCCCACAACTAGCTATAAAATTAGAAATTAGTACGTGAAGTAAGCCTGAAAGGGAACAATGCTATTAACGATTATCATTGGTATGTATTGTAGTTGATGGAGAGCTAAGTGGACTGTATTTGACTAGTTATTTATTATAATTTACTTTTGTGAAAAAAGAAGAAACTAAAATATTGTGATATCTATCTGACTAATAAACTTAAAGAAACTATTGTGTAAATGAATGAGAGCTAATTGGACTGTATTTATTTAGGTTGTGTTTAAATCTTGAAGAAAGAAAATACTGAACTAACTGTTACCAACCCTCTGTCACTTGCTAGCTGCGTGAAATAATTACCTACAATCGCGAGGCATACAGGGCAGGCCTCTGTCACTCTTGCAACCGAAGTGAAATAATTACCTAAAATCGCGATTTGGGTGAATTTGGGTGTAATACGCAGTCGGGGCTAGCGCGTTGTAGGCGATTGATGTATTTTTAACGCTGTTTACGTAAATAGTTTTTTGTATACTCTTGTAATTTTTTCAGCGTTTAGTATTTAATTGTAGGATAAAATAGTTCAAAAAAAATTAATGTGATTTAAAAATAAT